TTATATTGATTAGTTTATAATTGATTAGAGAATTGTTATATGATATTGAATTAAATTGAAACATTGATTTCAATAATCATGAATCTAAATACTCACTCACTGTAATATAATTTTATATTGATTATTAGTTTATAATTGATTAGAGAATTGTTATATGATATTGAAATAAATTGAAACATTGATTCAATAATACTCACTAACTATTTATATTGATTGGTTTATAATTGGTTAGAGAATTGTTATATGATTTTGAATTAAATTGAAACAGTGATTCCAATAATTATGAATCTAAACACTCACGGACTATTTATATTGATTTGTTTATAATTGATTAGAGAACTGTTATATGATATTGAATTAAATTGAAACATTGCTTTCAGTAATTATGAATCTAAATACTCACTCACTGTAATATAGTTTGTAATTGGTTAGAGAATTATTATACGAAATTGAATTAAATTGAAACACTGATTTCAATAATTATGAATCTAAATACTCACTAACTATTTATATTGATTAGTTAATAATTGATTAGAGAATTGTTATAAGATTTTGAATTAAATTGAAACATTGATTTCAATACTTACGCACTGTAATATAATTTATATTGATTAGTTAAATTGATTAGAGAATTATTATATGAAATTGAATTAAATTGAAACATTAATTTCAAAACTTATGAATCTAAATACTCACGGACTATTTACATTGATTAGTTTATAATTGATTAGAGAATTGTTATATGATATTGAATTAAATTGAAACATTGATTTCAATAATTCTGAATCTAAATACTCACTCGCTATAATATATATTTATATTGGTTAGTTATAATTGATCAGAGAATTGTTATACGATATTGAATTAAATTGAAACGTTTATTTCAATAATTATGAATCTAAATACTCACTAACTATTTATATTGATTAATTTATAATTGATTAGAGAATTGTTATATGATTTTGAATTAAATTGAAACATTGATTTCAATACTTACGCACTTAATATAATTTATATTGATTAGTTAAATTTATTAGAGAATTGTTATATGATATTGAATTAAATTGAAACATTAATTTCAATAATTATGAATAAAAATACTCACTAACTATTTATGTATATTGATTAGTTTACAGTATAGTTGATTAGAAAATTTTTATATGATAATTGAATTTAATTGAAACATAATTATGAAAATCTAAATACTCACAAGCTGTAATTGATTAGTTTATAATTGATTAGAAATATAATTTAATATGCAAATTATTATTAGTAATAAATAATGGTTTTAAAATAAAGTTTAATTAACAATATGTCTACTCTTCCGATTCTTTCATTTCTTCCATTTTTCTCGTTTCTACGTCCATTTCTTTTAAATAAAATCCAAAAAAAAATTTTACATTATCGGATTAAATAAATTCCGTTTTGCATGCATTTCATTTGTACGACAATAATAATTCCGGATTGTTTCTAAATAAAAAAAACGGTATTACCAAAGCATCATATGAGTTTTATTTATGCATACAAATACAATCATGCCATTTATTGGGTGAACCCATATAAATATTCTTAACAAAAATATTATTTTTCAATTATATTAATAAACAAGAGTACAAGGTTAGGGAAGTTTTTTTTTTTTTAAATTATTAGTATTTAATTTATTATGATTATACGTTATTAATAATACATAATAAAATAAATTTATGAAAAAGTTTAAGATATGTTTATTTATTTAGGTAATAATAAATGTATTAAATTCACCAATGCTATTGTTATGTTTTTCTTTTAAGCGCAGGACCAGTACGATCAGACTTCGTGTACAATTTTTATAATTGGATCCGGATTATCTAGTCGTTATTATTTGTTTTTCATCACTTCTGTTATAATTTATTCCAATTAAAGGGAGTAATCTATTTTCTTAATTTGTAAACCGATTTATAATTTAGCTTTTTTAATTTTTTTGGTATTTTTTTGTGGTGTTAAGTTTGTTTTTAGTTTATTGGCGGGTTAAAATTCGTCATCGTGATGATATTTATTTTTTTCGTACAGTTAATTAGTTTGGTAAAAAAAAATGAATTTGTTTATTGTGGCCATACGTTTATCTTTTTTCGGCGATCGTTAATATTACTTTGCTTTATCGGGGAGCTTTGTCATAGTTGGCAATTGTTGCATATTTTAATTATTTTGATTAATTATGTTTTATTGATGTGGGTTGCTATTAATGTCGATTTCTTATCATCACAATTGAACTGTGGAGATCTGCAGGGTTAATGGTCACGAATAACGAGGGTGAGTCGTCCCGTATTATTACAGCACGAATTTCGTAACGAAGAAGGCTCCGCGATTGGTTTGAACTCATAATTCTTCCATAGACAACATTTATATATTTTGTCAGTTCAAGCACCTCTCCACTCGTTATTGGTTGATTATTCTGCTCTTGCTTAATTGTGACTTTCGTATCGTCTGGTGTAAGATTTGAAATTAATTCAGCTGATCGTTTGAAATTTGCTTATTTTGCCATTAAATATGTTCCCGATGCAATTTCTCTTCTTCGTAATATAACAAGCGTAGCAAATATGAATGATAGATGATGTATAAACTTAGGATCATGGAGCCTCAATAGGTGTTTAATATATTGTTTGAACGGTATGCGACGTTTGCGGAAATTATCTTCATGACTACCAATCTCGTAGGGAAACAGAGTAGATAATGCAGAAGGTAGGAGCAATAGATCCTTATATTCATTTTTAGGTTAGGTACATTCGAATGTGACATGAGATCACATGAAAGCAATTTTGTTCATCATCTGTCGATTCTTGGATCATTTTTTCGAGTAATTTTAAAGTATGATCTTGTTCAGAGACAGGAATATTGTCAGTATACTGTGGTGACGACGAAAGATTGGTAAGGTGGTACAAAGATAGCAGCGCAGAAAACATGTGGTATGGGAACACAAATGATGGA